GTAATCAGCATGAAAACTCTAGTTGTTGGGTGGGTAACCTTTATTTTTTGTTGGAAAAGTTTCCCACTGAGATCATCTGACATTAAGTTGTGGCAAGTTAACTTGCATTTTTATTAGTTTGCTAGAAAACTGATAGACACTCAGGTTGCTAGCAGGGGTGTTGTACTTTCTCATGCTTGTCCCCTCCTCCCCTCTGCAGGTATTCTTATAGGGCAATACACTTTTTTAAATCAGAAAAGCCTTTGGTAGCAGCTGTTACTTTCTGTATTGTATGGTTGGACAGCATCTAGCCTGATGGTTAACAACTTTTATTTTTTCAAGTACCTTCTGCATGTTCTTGCCTCTCAACCTTGATCCTAAGAGATTTATAGAAGGTGAAAAGACCAGAAAAGTAGGCAGTTAAAGCTGTCTGTGTCTCTGGAGCACAGACATGATACATGTAACTATATTTCTGCGTAGAAAGCAAAAACAAAAGGGTTTGTTTTTTCTTCCATTAGTTCAGAGGTTAAAAGTGTGTTTTGTTTTGTTTTTTTAACCTATTGAGGTTAAAGTGGACTTTCCTGGAATTACTTTTTCTTTTAACCACAGGTTTTTGATAAGGAAACCAAATCTGTGTGGCTGTTTTATAAATTCTGTTATTTTAAATTTATTTTTCACAATAAAGGCAAATTATGAAAGGGCTTATCTTGCAGCAATTTGAGCATTCTGTAAACAACCAACATCTCAGATGACCTTAGTCCTACTCAGCTATCACACGCAACTGATTTTAAAACCGCTGTAGTGTCCGTAGGAGCAGATATGTCGTATTTCACAAGGCTGTACAATTCTGTGCCATTCTCTCTTAAAACTTATAGTTCCGTGGTAATTTTTTTTTCTCCTTTCGATTTTCAAAAAGTTAGTTAGCTCCAGTTCTCTCATGGCAGTGGAGTACTGTCCTTTCATACATTGTTTCTTGGCCAGTCCCATGTCATGGAGCAGAGAATGCAGGACAGATGCTTCACGCCTGGCATACTCAGCTGTTCCTGAGAATAAAACTACTACGTGCGACTGGCAAGTACTGCTTGAGGCAGCATATGCTAGCTGTTAACGTGTGACCTTTTTGTCCTCAGTAACTCGACTAACTTTACTCATTTAGAAAGAAAAAAAATTAGATACTAAATTTAGGCAACCGAGTTGCTGAATATCAAGCCACTGCTTAATAATAAAAGTATTTTTCACTTCAAAACTCTAGTTCCAGATGTAAAGTGTTAATTGCACACTGACCAGCGTGCAGAGAGGTGGGTGAGTAGCATGGACTGTCGGCCAGGTTATTGGAGTATGTGGAGCTGCAAGTGATTGAATTACAGTGGCTTAAGAAGTTCCTGTCTCCTCAGCTGAGAGTTTTACCGCCTCTGAGCTGACATGCAGCTCAACTGATTGTACACGCCCTACCAGACCACTAAAAAAATAAGCTAAATTGTGCTATTTTAATTACTGCTGCCACAGAATACACTGGGAGTCACTGAGAGACTGCTTTTCTGGATGGTGCAGCTATTTATGGTTGTCTCAGCATAAGAGAATTTTGAATTTTGACTCCTTAATGAATGGTAACAGCCTTAGAAGTGAGACGCTTATCTGAGTCTCTTGGTTTGTCTTTCTATTACCCAATCATCTGTGCTGGTGACACAGTGGAAGAGTGTTTTTGCAGTAGGTCTGCCTTGCTGAAACATGGCTCTTTGGGGCCAGTGCTGCAGAATGATCAAATAAATAAATCCTCAGCGAGGAGATATTTTTATACATATACAGTACCTTTAATAATTTACAATTATGTATGCTATAATTTTATTTTAAGTTCAAAATGTGTTTTCCCAAAAGACCAATCTACTCCACCTTGCATCTTTTCACTACCAGTGCTTTCATGGGAGTTAAAGAACCGGATGAAGTCTAGTTGTTGAGATATGTAGTACAAATTCTTACTGCGATTGGATGTTTGCTGAGCTGTACTACTGAATAATACTTATTAAGTGCCTTGTAATTACACACCTAGCTTTCCTTGCGTTTTATAAAATCACTCAAGGGAAGAATGAAAATATTCTAAATATCATATTCGCTATAAATGTAGGATTTATTTATCTTGATGCCTTTCTGAAGAATTTATTGTTTGAATATGTTTACTCTTCCTAAAGAAAAGATGACGGAGGCATATCAGCATGTTTGAGTCCTTTCATTGAGGTGATATAAACAAAAAAGCAGTAATCATATGGGTAAAACATGTGAGTTCTTAAGATACTAAATTTTTGAAGTTTGTTGATTAAATATTCTTGTAAAAATCAGTATGCTTTTTGTGGGTGGTTTTTGGTTTTGTTTTAATAAAAAACCCCAAAGATTTTTCAAGTGATCATGGGTATTTATTTTTGCGCTCTCTTTGCATGTTTGGACATTCCACAGGGAGACTTTACACGTGGCGTTGCTCCTGTTTACAGGCAGTGTTTCCTAGAACTGCTGGTTAATAGTATGGGTTTTACTCTACCATTAGTATTTCTGTTGGTGGTCGTTAATGAAGTTGTGTGAAAGAGCCGAAAGTGATAGGTTGCTGAGCAAAAAGAAGTACATGTCAGTGCAACAGCTGGATAACGTGTAGAAAAAAGAGATCAATAGAAAGAGAGTGGAAAAACCCCTTAGAATTAGGTAGGCACTGGGTTGGGTGGCAGTCTGAAAAAGATGATCTTGGTTTAGGATCTGGAAACAATTAAGTAACGTATGTGGTTGCTGAAGAAACCAGCTAACAGTTGCGTAACTTATGCTTGAGGACAAGTGATGCAGATGATGGAGACTGTGCAATGAAATTTTTGTTCTGCACCTGTGAACTTCAAACATTTGCACATTCATTTTGAAACATCTGCTGAGGTTTTTTTTGTCCTCTTTATGAAAGTAACTTCGGGATAGACCTAATTTTTATTTCTCACTGTTGGGAGTACAGTTTAAAGAACGGATATGTATAATTTAAGATGGTTTTGAATGTAGGTTTCCAGAAGACCTTAATCATCCTTTTACTAAAGTTGTTATTTTATGCATAAAATCACTGAAAAAAAAAATTTTCCTTTCTTTGTCTAAAGCTGCACAGAGTGAGGAGCGGCTGTGTGCATTTAAGGACCCATATCAGCAGGACCATGGAATCAGTGAGAGCCGAATCTCCCAGGAGAATGGCACAATTTTGTGCATGAAAGGTAGTACCTGCTATGGACTTTGGGAAAAAACACGAGAAGGAGACATACATCTTGTAAAACAAGGTACGTAACATTTCAGTGTAAGTGCAGTAGTTTTGCTACTCTTCTCACTTTTTTTGTGATCTAGCCAGCCGATATGAAGATGCACAGCTGCAAAGCTAGACATTTTGTTTGTGCTTTGTACACATGCATAATTTTAAACTTCCCATTTAGCAATTTTAAATATGAACAGAAAGTTTGTTTGAAATAAATGACTTCTAAAAGAGACCGAAGAGATCAATGCACAGTTGAAAAAAAACCACCACTCAGATTGCTTGTTACTTAGGCTATCCAGAGGAAGATGGCTTTCTTGAATGTATCTCAGTATATGTATTGATGTAATGATAAATTTAAAAATAAGTGTCTCATTAAACAAAAATGTATATTCGTATTGATTGGATGCTTGTTTACAAAGGAAATTGCAGCTATAGCACGATACTGTCACATATCACTAACTGTCAATTCGCTGCTATTCTGCGGGGAGAGTGATGGTAGGGAGGGGTGAAGGGTCTTGCAGTTGCTGGAGACGTGTTTTGATTACCATTCTCAGGGACTCTGCTCTTGGTTATTTGGATACAAGTTAATGTAGTATAAGGCTGAATGAAAACTGGTATTTACAAATATCCTGTGCAGTTGTACTCAGTGTTGTTGTTTCATGTTTGATCTGGTAATCTGCTGAAAGAAGCAGTCTGGCTGCTCACCTCTGCCCCCACGCTGCCTCTTCCCCTTCCAGACATTTGCGCACAAACGACGTTTAACTGCCGTTGACCATACGTGGGAGGGAAGAGTTGCTGCAGGGAGAAAGGGCCTGCATTAACCAAGAAATAAGTTGTGATCCTGTAGAAGAGTCCAGAAGGAGACAGTGAGGAAGGACAGAATTTTTAGAAATTATGCAAGAAGCACCAAACTATAGATGCAGTCTTGTGGCCTAGCTCTAAGGAGGGGACTAGATCACAATTTCACCTAGACTGTGGGCCAGAGGGTGGTAATATTGTCTGTGGTATCAGAGAAATGGGGAATGGCATACTTCTGCTTAGAAGGCTCAAGAATTCAAGTTTTGTCATATTGAGGTTGACAGCTGGACACCTCTGATGTTGGCCTTAATCGCTGCCCATATTTCTTCTCCTTGGCTGTGGTAAATTCTGAAAGAAATTCTTCAGTTTTTGGTTTAAAAGGTGGTAGTGAAGTCAGACAAGCAAATGAAGATAACTGTTTTCACCCCACTCTGTAACATTTAATTAGGTAACATATGGATTTCTACAGGTGTGTTTAATTGTCCATGTAATAGAATTAAGTTTATGCCTCCTTTAAAAAGAATTCTTTAATTTGCCTCTTTTTACAGGTTGCTGGTCTCATATAGGAGACCCACAAGAGTGTCACTTTGAGGAGTGTATAGTTACAACCACCCCTTCCTTGATTCAGAATGGAACATACCGCTTCTGCTGCTGTAGTACGGACTTGTGTAACGTCAACTTCACAGAAAATTTTCCACCTCCTGACCCTACTGATACAACACCTTACAGTAAGTCAGACATTTCCATCTCTGTCATTTCATGGTTTAAATAATTTAGAGAAAGATCCTTCTTTCATGGTACTGTTAAATACGAAACCTGTGACCTTTCTATTTATATGCAACAGAAATGGCAAACAGAACAGAGCTTTTCCATATGAAGTTTGTCACATTTATATATTCCACAGTGCTCTGCAAAGAATGAGTTAAACGCTTACAAGAGAATTGTTTGTATAGGCAACTGCTGAATGCAGATTACATTTTCCAAAATGGTCTCTAATCTTGGGTGCTTTGGTATTTGGATGCCCAACTTCAGAAGCCTGTGGGGATATTCAGAAGGATTCAGACTTCTGTTAAAAACAGGCCAGTACGTTCATTAACATTATGGTACCTTTGAAAAGTCTGGCCTGTCTATTCAGTCATGGTTCACAGATAGCTTTGAGCGGTAGAACCAGTCTTATATCAGGCTGTTAAGATTCTCTCCAACAGTCTTACAGTGCTTTGAAATCTGACTTCTTTCTTTTGCATATCTCTGGTAGAGATTAACTTTGGCATAACGTTCAAAGAGTACTAGTTTGAGCAATGTAGTTTTCTTCCAGATTAGATTATCTGTTAAGTTATTTATTATAAAATCAACATAGCATATGGATCCAAATCAAGGGATCAGACCCCTTAACATCCCATTACAAAAGCAAGATCATGACTAGCAGGCACGCTGTTATGCTGTGTTCCAAGAATTAAGAAACTGTAAAGAAGCTCAGTGGCCTAATCTAAACATTTGGATAGCCTTTTCTGAACGAGAATTGTGAAAGAGAAGTTGAATAGCGGCAGGTATGTAAGTGTTTCTGTACGTCAGGAGTTCTTTATCAATTAAAAGTGTTTTGTGAAATGAAGATGTCTTTAATTGGATAGTATTTACAGCTATAGAATGCAAAAAGAATAGTTTGTGTTTAGGAATGATATTTGAATTAACTTAAACTCTAAGATAGTGAAGGTACTGATGCTTTCAAAAGTAACTGTAGGATGGAGTCTTTGTAAGCAATTTTGGTCAAAATGAGGGCTTGGCATGCTAAAAAAAAAGCAACCTTTTACTGGGAAAGTGTGTACGGTATAAATGGGTAGAGAGTTGATAAGGCATGGTGCCTTTTAGCTGATAATACTGTTTGTAGAATCAGTAAACAATCACCATTTGGAATCAGTGTCTGAGCTCAGCACTGTGCAATGCAGAACGTACTCTACTTGATTCTGGTAATAGTCATCTTATTGGGCTCCCCAAATGTGGCTGGAGTTAGTGCTGTGCAGGGGATTTAGACAGTAGGGAAAAAAGGTGTAAAGATTATTCCTTGTCCCTTTCTATCCCCCTAAAATAGGAAGACAAGGTTCCTACAAAATGACTTGTGCTCGTGCTTCTCCAAGGGTAGAAATTACAAGCCGAATTAATTCAGTTATTGGGTGATAAGATCTTCAAATAATTTTTAAGTGGAATTTTTAATACTGAAAGATCTAGCTTGACTTGCAAAGTGTGTGTGTGGGGGATTAAATTTGTAACACAGTCCTTAATTCACCCAGCTGTAATTGAGTGCTGCAGCATACATTTCTACTGACTCAAACTGTTTTGTATTATTGTGTCACCTTCCATTTTCTTAATACGCAAATTTGGCTTTAGGCATAAGCAAAGTAGGTTGCTACCTAGCACAGTTGTCTGTCTGCTTTGACTAGGTTAAGAGATGGAGATTGGCCATTCCAGCAGCAAGGATGGCCTCATTTGCCACTCTGGTGTTTTATTTGTGAAGCTCTACTACTGCTGCATCCGACAGACATGGGGCTGCTCCTGGCAGTGTAAATCCCGTAAACCTGCAGCACTGTGGAGGTAGAGGATGTTCTAGGAAGCTGGAAGGGTGAAAAAAGAGGGAGGCTGTGGCACGCGGACCCCTGCAACATTACTGACCCCCGTTCCAGGCACTGGGGTCTCCATGGTCCCTTTCCCAGCCCTCTTGACTCCTTCTGGAACCCATTTTGGCACTGTAAGATTTAGTTTTGCCACCTCAACATTGAGGACAGAATTCTTGCTTTGGCAAAGTTCAGTTTTTATGGAATTGTTGGGAAGCTTTGAATTACCTACCTAGGTTCCTTACTTGGGCACTCTTCCATCCTTCCTATTAAAGTTGTCAGAATGCTTTAAGGACATTAGTAAGCTTAGCTGCCCAGTCTGTGGCAATCTATATTACCATACCTTTTAGATTATTAAATTGAACAGGTCACAGTCATATGGGAAATCTTCTGCAGAAGGTTATTTCAGTATAGCCCACGAACTGTAAGAGCACTCTTTCATGTATATTTTTGATAAGGCATTAAAAATGTTTTACATTGAATAGTTCTTGAATAACAGAAAGTAAGGTATGTGGCCTCCTAGAACTGTATTTATGATCCTGTAAATTTCAAAGCAGGTGTGACTAGTGTATAGTTAATTATGCGAAGCCTGATGAATTTAGCCAACGGTTAACTAAATATTTGTAAATGTTTTTCTGCTGATTTCCAGTAAAATCACCCAGAATAAAAAGTTCCTGGAATAACAAGTGGAAATTCAGCCATAGTTTAAAAACTAACAGAACTTGAAAACACTGCTGATGAACGTAGTCAATTTAAAGCTTCACTATTAAGGAAAATTGTAGGTGTTCTTTTAAAACCATTTCCTTGCAGCTATATGAAGGATCTGTGGAAACAGCAGAATACTGTTAGGCTCTTGAGCTAAATCAATCCAGAAAAATAATGGAGGAATAAAAAGATTACTTTATACGATCTTTTGGTTGCAATTTTTTGTAGGACAATTAACAGTGGTGTATTGAAGGATGTAGCTAGACTATAAATGATTCAAGAGGACTAAAAATAAGTTAAGATCTTAATACATCTTAGATATAACAAATTACTGTCATAAAATATAGCAATTCTTCTCTTAAATATTACACTTAATTTTTATGTCATTGTTGTCTTCTAGGATGTTAAAACATGTTTATCTTGCAACCATATCTGTGTAGAACGGAATACTTTTTTTTTTTTTAGTTCATATTTGGTCAGGGCATAAATATAAGAAATCCATCCTATCTTCTAACAGAACTTTTATAAAAGTGAAAAATAAGATTAAGGACAAGCAAGTTCTTGAAGCCTTAAATTTAACTGTTACTGCTTCTTAATGTGCAGCTGGTAATTTAAAACACTCATACATCTGAGAAGTCATAATATTCTTCTCTTGTATCTTAAAGATAATCCAGGCACATTTGAGTAGTTGTTGGTTGCTAGTCCCTCCAGCTAGAGTTTTGCAAAGGCTGTAGGATGGGGTGTATTCTAGAGCCCACAGTCTGGAGGTATTAAAAATGCAAAGATTCAGATAGCTGTTTCCTGATGCCAGGAGAAGTAGAGGCTGGAGAATGGTGTTTACTTCACATCTGAAGATTTGCCTGTGGAGTTTGGAGCTACTGAAATGCAGAAGTTCAAAAACAATCTCTCATCCTCAACCTAAGCTTGCACTTTTGGGGAAAAAATATGCTTTCCTATGCTTTGCTAAATCATTCATGGATAGATTAATTATTCTTCCATCTTCTGTTTTCACAAAAAATTGATAAAAAAAAATCCATCTTAACTTCTGCCAGTATGTGTATTTAACCCTTAACACAACCTAAAAAGGGCCAACTGTGGCTTCCTGGGTAAATGTTTTGAGATGTATGTTTACTCTATTGGCTTTGTCAAATATTTATTTTGAGACTTGTTAAATATCTGCCTCTTATGTCTACAAAATGCTTCCTAAATTCTGAGACTGTTTTGAAGACAAATTCATTAGTTCTACAATCATTCGTAATGGCCATTTAAATGGAATTTAAGTGGCTAAAGAGGTAAATGATCTCCCTCATTGGTCATAGATATGTTGCTGTAATGAAACATTCATGTTAAAATAACATCAAGATGAAAGCAAGAAAGCCATTTTTAATTTTTTTTTCCCTCAAGGCTGCATTCTTGGCACTGCAAATAAATTAATCTTACAGCAACTAAGTGTTAAGAATATATTTTTGTATGACAGGTGGTGTATTTGCATGATACATGGAAAAAATCCCTGGCAGCAACAGTTGAGCATTACTGGTACATATTATTGTTGAAATGATGTAGGGTTTTCTCCTCATAGCAACAAATGGTGGCTGCAATTTTTAGAGGATTTAGAAACTTATATTAAGTAAGAGCACTGAGATTTGAATATAAAGAAACTGCCTCACACAGTGAAGGAAGTTGGCATTTCTTTATTCCAAAACACTGATAGACAGGTTTATCTTTCCAGTGTATCATCCTTGCCTTTCTTTGCTAGCCTTCTTGCTACGTATATAAAATACGTATATAAAAGTCTGTCTTTAAGTGCTCACAGAATTCTGTGGAAACTTTGAGGAAAGCTACCATTAAAAAAAAAAAGTAGTTATTAATGTATGTGGCTGTGTCAGGTTAATTAAGGTAGTAATAGTTTTCATTTAACTATTGCTTTTGAGAGGCAGCAGTTAGACTCATGTTGCTGTGGGCACATGGCCCAATCTAACTCCCACTGAAGTTGAATTAGGTCATGTCAGGCTAATTTTGGAAAGTTGTAACCCTGCTCACTCTCAGTTGTTATCTTGAACTTTTTTTTCCAGAGAGCAGCATCCAATATTAATTTATAATTGAAATGCATTTACTTCAGCTGTTCTGCTTGCAGTACCTGATCAGCTAAGTTTGTCACTATTGTTTGAGCTGGTCTTTCATTTCTGATCCGCCTTATCTAAGAAAATGCTCTGTAAATAAGCATTTTCCCTTACTTGCACTATTTTTTTTTCCAGGTGATTTGGATATATAGCAAAGGGGAAATTACAAACCTTTGCAAGGTAGCAGATCTTCTGTCTTAAAAGATGGAGGCGGGACTGAGCCACATGAGGATTAAAACTTTTACCCTTGAAATGATAGGGAGTCAAGTCAGGCACATCTTCCCTTCAGTGAAGAGA